GGAAATGTGAGCTGAACGGGTGGACGAGATGCTTGTGACGCAATTATGTTGTCGGTAGAGCGTTTTTTCTCGGCTCAGCGGGATTTCTTTCGACCTCCGGATAATGATTTGATTTCCGGATTGCAATTAAGCCACCTCATCTACCAATACCATTTTTGCCAAAAATACGCATAGTATTAGGTTGGCCTGGAATTCGGTTTTGATGGTCTAATATATTTGCTTATCTAAGAGGATAATCTAAAATATAGCCACCGTCATTATGCTACAAATACTAAAAGCTTACTACACTTTATGGATTTTTCGATGTATGCTGCTAATAGCGTACTTGTCATTAGAAACAGAAAAGCTTCAACTGATACTCGACTAGAGAATGACAATCAAGGCCATTTCCTCGTGGGTGGTTTTTCACAGCCCGAATAACACCGTATAACTTGGTATTGAGGAACAGAACTGTAGGTGAGGAAGGACTTTCCATCCAAGCTTGTCAGTCTATGACGAAGTATAACGGTTTTCAAATGTTGGACGAACATTGTCTTGCAGAAACTGACTTATTCATGACTCGTAAATCCTTGTTTTACGATACCAGCCATTTCCGAATTTGAGAATAACATATATCCCTAGTTATCGCAGTATTAGTTCGAAGAAGTTTATATAAAGCATTTTTGTCAAGTTTTGATGTCTTCTTCAACAGTTACAGCCACTAGCTTCTAAAAAAATAAAAGGATAAGTTTGCGTCGTTCATCAATCCCTTAAAGAAGCGCTGCGCTTTCGGCTGGATTTATAATATTGTAGAGGCGATAGAATGCATATCCACGGTATATCGTTACTTACGCGAGAGTAATATACATATTTACTCGGCTAACCTAACGACGTCTTCGTCTTTATTTCACCCGATGATCCGAGTCGATTGTCCGCAATTGTTCGTCTTCATTGTTCGTGGGCCATAGACTCGGATCATCGGCTCTGATAAAGACGAAGACTTCGAAACCTAAGTCAAATAAATTTGTATATCAACCCGTGTGAGCTCAAGAATTTAGATACATGTTGGCTATTTTTCTACCAAGGTTAAATGACGGTCAGTTTAGAAATTTTTGTACCTTGCATGACTTTCGGCGAATTTTCCTTGTATGAAATCGTTATTTTTATCCTCTGGAGCTGTACCTAGTACTAATTTGGCGAGAACGGAAGGATGGAGGGCCGAGTTGCCGCACACCGCGTTATCGAACTGACAAGCACCTGTATACTGCAGGTCACAGCATGTTTACATCCCTAATCCACATACAGGAACAAATTTTCTTCTCCATTTACGAGGTTATCCAAAAACTGTTTTCTGCGTTGAACGAAAACAAGAAAGTGCAGATTCTGACATCTTTCGCCAGAACTTCTTGTTGACCGAGGGTTGTCGAGATCACCCGGGTGGCAAAATGGCATCTACATCCGAATGATATGGCAAATCCGACCGATACAGCATTACCAGTTAGTTCAACCAAACAAAAAACAAGTCAGGACAGAAACTGCCATGGATCCTTTCGGAGGACGTATTTTGAAAGATCATGTGGCATTTCTTATTTTTTATTTTACATGAGCCATCATCACATCTACTGTGCGTATCCCAGCACTTCACGCGTATGTCTCGTTTTTTCTATCATCCGACATCCACCATGGTCTTCGAACATTTCGCGTGTTGCTTCAGCTGCTTGAGGATTCCTTCTTCCTTGTGAATGTCGTAGATTGCTAGTCGAGTCAATTTCTTTTGTAAACTTGGAGATAGTCGTGCTAGGGTTTCCCACGTGTATTGGAGGATGGGGTTGGGTCGCAGATCGAACTAGCGCTTTTTCTTCCTGGACGACGACATCACTAACCAACCACTGCGCTATCCCGGCCCCATGTAACAGTCATAAACAAATGGAATGAAAAACTAAGATTTTCACTGGTATCTGGAAACAATAAGCTTCAGAAAACAGATAAGGATGAAAGATAGAAGAAGAAACGAGCAATGTGAGAAACACTAGTTAGCGGCATTAATAGTATAGGTTAAATGTCTTGGCTATCTGATAAGGAAGCTTCAACAATCATTTATTATTGCTGTGTTGGGTGTTTAGCACCGGGTTCCTCATCAACAAATGTTTTAGGCTTGATCCATAGATTAAAGTCTAGGCTTTCGGGAGATAATCGGTTATTCAAGTCACCACAATTTCTGGAGATTTAATGAGTGACAACCGATAGGAATCTCCGTGGGACACAAATATTGTGGTCCGACCTTAATGTGTGGCCATTTACGATCACAACGATATTACAGTGCGCGATTGTCACTAACGATCACGTCAACTCATAAAACCGTCAACAATTCATCAAACGAAAAAAATCACCTAGGAACGACAACAATGATGAATTCAGGTGTTTGTCGTATTCTAATGCTTGCATTATCCTTTCGCAACGAAAGGTTTCATTTCAAAACCAAATAACTTTACTCTACAGCCTTTTATAGAAAAGATATTGTCCTTGAAAAGCTTCTTTCCTACTACAATCCACAAGCTTGAAGAGAATGAACCATTCTAATAGTAGCATTGCCTGAATTTAAAAATCCTACTGGATTGGGTTATGGTCACAGAATTAGTTGTCTAACTCAACTATGTAGGAAGTGCTTGTTGTTTCTTCATGTCAGACTTTCATGAGATTTTTTGCAAGGATTCTTCTATAGTAATCATCTTGCACTGCACATTTATCTTAGTTAAAAGGTACTAACTGCATTATTAAGCAAATTATTGAGAGAGTGTGGCGCAATGGTTAGAGGTGTCTAACAGTACTCATTTGGTCGTTAGTTCAACACCAAGTCCTATACTAACCAAGCCCCTCAAACTCGTTAAATTATCTCTAAACTTGTCTAGGAGGATAAGAGAAGATTTGGTACATCGATAGGCCACCACTTATCATTGTATAGCCGTATGTACTCAGCTACTTCTATAATGATACGAATGGAGTGGAATGCGCAGTGTATCCCAAAGGTATTGATTACAGCCGAACAGATAATTCTTTATGCGTTAAGTAAGTTACTAGACCACCGACAAAAGCAAATTTTATTGGAGAGTTGTAACCTTCCTTAATGAACTTTTACTGTAAAACGCTAATTGTGGTGCCCGCGCCAAACCAGACGTCTGTTTGTCTGGTAGAAGATTGACGACTGATACAGTTGCTTAGCGACAAATTACTAGCCAAGCAAAAGGGGTCAATCTCCTGGCCCGTAGCCATCTAGTTTAAACTCATAAGCTATATGATTATTGTAAAGCTCACTAGATGAACGTTCATCTCTAAGCCGGACGAATCCACTCGTCATTATGCAACCATGTATTCCAACTTTATTTTTACTTTGTGCATTATTTCCTATTTGTTTTTTCTTTTCCTTTTATTGTTGCTTTTCCAAAAATTTTATAGCAAATTTTGTGTGAATTCTATATTTTAGTATGAATAGTGTGGCAAAAACTCGGACATTAGTTAACCAAAAGGATGAAGCTGCCGGCGTTGATCAATTCTTGGAGGATGCGCCATGCATTCGACATCACTAAGAATCTTTTGGAGGTGATTGAATGCATATCTGGCCTTTACAATAACTCTCGGTGGCCTACCGATGTATCGAGACAGTACTGCTATTCTCCCAGACAAGTCTGATACAATTTGCTGACCATGGAAGGATGGAAGGCTTGGTGGGCCACGGCGCAGGATCGATCCCATGTGCGTTGCAGGGCTCCTCGGACCACTGAGCCACACGCGCGCTAAGACATTAGTTATTGCCTTACATTGAAAAATAGATAATCGTCATAAGAAAATGACTTTAAGAAAAGGTTGAGCATTGGGAAGATATATATCGGAAGGAAAGAAAATACTTCACATTTCCAGTTTTTTACTTGCTTATCTATTTAGTAGCGTGTCCATGACAGAGTAAGTATAGCATCGTTACAAAGAAGTAAAACCAACGTAGAAACAAAGTATTTTAGTACAAAAAAACGGCCTATTTTTATACGATATCCCTATCCGACGATATTTTAGTGCAATGGAAAGACTTATGGTGAAGACATCCAGGCTGAACTAATTACAATATTCATCGTTGATGGTCTCATTCTCTAACCATTCTGACATCAAGCTGCTGACCTCTTTAGCGTCAATTTGTTTAAGAGTCGTGTAGCATATGCAGTAGTGTTTGGTCAGACCGGCAGTATGAACATCATCTGGTATCTGAGCGCTGTAACACCTGCGAGTCATCGCTGGCTCACTGTTGGTTGCTCGGGTTATAGAACAAGTTTGAGCGACTATTATTAAAGACTGACCTACCACATTTTACATGATAAACATTTAAATAGGATGGACAATCTGCGATAGTTATTCCACTGATCCGATTCATATATACACACGGAGAAGAGGAAAGGATAAGCTGTTCGGAATTCATCAATTCCTTTGGGATGCGCTGTGCATTCGACTCAATTGGTAGCATCACAGAGGTATTTCGAGTGCATATTTAGCCTCTTTCCGGTTTTTTACATCCATCACCCATAAAAGTATTCGAGCTTTTCCTTTGTGGGTTGAGCTACTGGATAAGATTTATCACCTTCTTCATGAATTTCATTGCATGCTGGACAAGTCGATTCTTCCTGGGGACTTAAGATTGCCTGAATGGAGAGTTTTCACCTGAATGGTGGAACTGAACTACTTCCACACATACCTATAACCTATTACGCAACCACTGAAGGATGAGAGGTTTGGTGAGTTTTGTGCAGTTCTGGACCAGCTTCATGCTCGTGATGAATGGCACCCTATCACTGCGCTATCAGCTTTCTCCTCCCCTTCCCCCACACCCATTTTTTCCTATTGACTTTTGTATCTCTAAAAAATGGAAAAGGGAAGAAATAACCTAAAAAGAAAGTTAGTCTTGTTCACTTCAAAAAACTAATGGATCACATTGAATCTCGTATTCGCAGTCTATTTCAAAATCCTGGCAATGTAGTGTCCTAAAGTGGTGCCTTGGTGTCTGTAAATGCTAACGGCTCCCACACCTGTTCGTCTACAGAAGACCAATTAATCGAAGCGAAATTGACTTGACGATCGACGAAAAAAACACCTTCGAACGATGCACTTGATGACAGATGTGACTGAGAGGTCGATCGACGACTCCTAGCAGGATGAAAAATGCCTGGTCCATAGTAGACCATTGATGCCGCATCGGAAGGAATCCAAAATCGCTCATATTTCCGGAACAATGGGAGAATTCGAATAGTTGAAAGAGGCCCTGCTGCTATACGAAATTGTATTCTAGCGCACATGAGCAGCTGATGAGTCAGATTACGGCTTGGTACTTTCATTTAGCCTAAAAGTTCAGAAACCAGTGTTTCCAGCTCATTGATATCTTTTTCGTTTCTTCATACATTGCGCTGATATGATAAAGATAATATTCCGGTTAAAAATTTTGAAACTTAGGATAAAGGATAAAGTTCTTGGCGTTGATCAATCCCTGAGCGATGCGCCATGCATTCGACTTCATCAAGCATCCTTGGAGGTGATTGGATGCATAACTGGCCTTTGCAATCATTCGCCGTTGCCTACCGATGCATCGAGCCAATGCTGTTATCCTCCCAGACAGGTCTGGTATAAATTTGCCGAACCCGGAGAAATGGAAGGCTTGGTGGGCCATGGGCGCGGGAATCGATTCCATGTGCGTGTGTGTGTTGTAAGGCGCCCCCGACCACTGCGCCACAGGCGCCTTTAAAACTTAGTTATTTTCAATTTTTTACGCAGTTCTGATCTCGATTATTCTAACCCTTAACGAGCATTATACGATGATAAAATCAAATCCACGAAAGGTTTAGAGCTATGTTTATTGTAACCAAGCCGCCAATGTATCTCTCTATCTTTCTCTATCTCTCTTGCTTTTTTCTTCTTTTTTTTCATCCTTTCACAAATTGATGATGTGTAATTCGAGCAATTCGACAATGGCAATACGATACTTTTAAAACCATCTTGATCTAATTTACATGGTTCGCGGAGCCAAACAGAATTGTCCGAATCTTTCATAAAGTTCTTTTATTGACAAAAAAAACCTCTCAGCCTGTCCGTCACAATCGGGCATTTCTGAAGCAGATGAGTTCTGCGCATCTATCATGAATCAAGCGAATTTCCTCTATCTTCGTTATTTTAATGGATACGGAATGAATCCAATTAGTGACCGATCTCCATCCTTCGGAAAAAGCCTTATAGACAACTTTAATAACCATTACCTATTTCTGAAGATATGTAAGGCTTGATTTACCCACACTCTTCACCAGCAACGAATCGACTTCATATTTCGTAAACCGCTATTGTTTCAGCTCCTATAAACCTGTTAGGTTAACCTGTTATAAATCTGTTATAAACCCATGGACTGTTAAGTTGGCTTTTGATCAATTTCTTTTTTATTAACACGAAATAATCTACAAAGACGTGTTTCATTTCCTGGTACACCTTTGCGTAAATGAAGCTTCTTATACTAACGTCTCAACTCTATAGAGCAAGTATGGACTATCGGTAGTTAGGTAGGTAGATAGTAGTTGGTACCGGACTTGTCTGGGAAAAAATCACTCTCTGCAATCCAGTTGGGAACGCTCCAGTCCGACTATCTCATGATTCTAGGAAAAATTGCTCGACCAGCATTCTACGACATTAGAGATGAAATGAAAAATCCTCAAGCAGCAACCGATGATGGAAGCTCTTCGTGGATAATGGATGTGAGGAAACGAATCGAATGCGAGAAGTGCTGGGATCCGCACAGTAGACTTGAATACTGATCAAAATAAAATAAAATAAGTGGAACAAGTAGTTTTTCGAAATCCATTTTGTTTTTCCTTTATTAAAAATTATGACGGAGTAAATATGCTATGAAATGCCTGAGAACAAAAAGGTTACAATGAAAATAGTCTCTAGGTATACGGCAAGTGGTATGAGATCATCTTCAAAAAAAGAAATCTTTACGACTGCTTTGGGAAAGTTCGAGAAGTTACCACTAAGTACTGTAAAGACTCAAAACAAGCCAGAACTTTTTATCTCATAGTTCAACTAACAGTAAAATAGTAGATCCCTGACGAGCTAACCGTGGACAATCTCCTTTAGCCAAAAGTCACACGGTGTGATGCTCATTGTCTCCTTAGGTGCAATGGGACGAATGGAGAGGTTTTAACTTGTGGCCGATGGGGTCGTTCTGGGATTGATGGTATTATAACTGATTCCAACGAAAAGAATGATTGTGTCGTCTACACCACTCAGTTTTGAAGTTCCAGTGATGTTTTTATTCCGATTAGAATGTCGCTAGTGAAAGAACGGAGAATCATACGTGAAACATTGTAACGGCACATTTTTTCACGTAACCCTGTCGTTTTAAGTGATCTCCAGAGTTATTCGAGAGCTGGAGAGCAGGGGTTATTGCTTTATTGAAAAGACCAAGTAAAATGTCGCTTGATATCCGACAGTGGTTTTGAGAAACTTAAGCAACTCGCTCGCTTATGTCTCCTCTGATTCAACAAGCCCATCAATTCTGTTGTAACCATCATCATCTCAGTCACCATTCTTCGACCATGAATGCGCCAAATTCAAGGTCTCAGAGTAGTAATGAGTACGACGCTGTTTTATTACTTCTCTTTATTACTTTGCAAACCAGAATGTAGGCAAGATAGTATGAATAAACGAAATACGTGCTTTTTAAGGTGAGGAAAGAGCTCTGCTTCCTCCTTTAGAGAGAAGAGAAAGCCGAATGCATGGAAAACTCGTCCTCATAGGAAAAAAAAGTTTGATTACTACCACTAAGCCATATGAATTCGTTTAAACAACGTGTTATATAAAAGCAGCCTTGAAAACTTAAAACATTAGTTCGATCGTGATGTCGTTTTTGTCCCACGTTTCCTCTTTTATTTCTAAAGGAGAACGGATGCCATTAAAAACTACAGAGCGAAAAATTTACTGCTATTTCCTGAGCGATCATAACAATGGCAAAGTGTTTGATTTCTTCACTGAGGCTTTAACACAGTTGTTAATAAAAGCGGTGTTAAGCAATCCTTCGAGAATGCGCTGTGTATTCCACACCACTCATACCATCTTAGCGTACTTGAATGTATATTTGTCCTATACAATGAATTGCGTGGCTGAGAGACTTATCAAATCGGTGTTTGCGTTTTTTTAAAAGTAATTTTGGTGGCATCTTACCGACCTTCGAAAGAAGAGAAAAACAGTTAGCAGGGTGCAGGATCGAACCAAGGACAACGTAAATACTAAAGAGCACCTCTGACCATTGCGCTACGCCAGCTCTAACTGTTCGTCGAACTCTAGAAATCTTGAAATGCTGTCAAAATTTCAGTTTGCTCGAAAGATAAACAGGAGGTACAAAGGCTGTATAAGCGATACGATATTGATAAGCATCTTATGACTGCAGGTGAGGGATTAGTATAATTCTGATGAGGTGTGAACTGATGGATTGTATTCGTGACATTTTACACCAACGGACACGACGAAAAGAATTAGAGATAAGCAAGGACACTTACGGAATACAGGAACAGGAGCGGTTCAGTCTACCTAGAACTTTAAAGTGCAATATCTCGAAAGCAAGAAAATCTTGACTGCCTTCTAGCTAAATTTTCTGGCCAAAGAAAACGAAGTAAAGACTTTTTAGGAAAAAAAGAAACCATAAAAAATTCTGCGCACTCACCTGTACCAATCCAGTCCCTTGTGATAGTTCTTCTCGAAAAAATGGACTTCTGGCCCCGGCGCTCGAATATTTGGATTCAATCGAAGGAATTCGAGTAATGCTCGAGTGCCAGCCTTTTTAACACCGACGATGATCGCCGATGGGAATTTCTTCTGTAGCTGCTCAACTGGAGCCGTAAGCGACAGTTTCATCAACAGAAACTGCATTAGTATTCGTGGTAACATCTAAACGTAACAGATTTATTACATAATAGCCAACGATCTGCAAGAAAGTGTTTATCAGAACAACCAGATTGAACGACGGCCTTTCATGAGGAAGGCGGGTTACAAGAACATGAAAAGGAAAACACTGTGAGTTTACTGATATGTTTTCGCCTAAACAAAAGAGAAGGTTAATAAAAAACGAAAAGTGGAGAAATAGTCACAAGGACTGAAAGCCATAATTCTAGGAAAAACTTCTTAAATGAAGAAAGTTGAAGGAAAATAAACATGGGTTGGAAGTAGTGAAAAGTTTGGAAGAAGCAAAATCATTCAAAGAAAATCCAAGCAAGGAGACGACCTCTAAACTTTTCTAACTTTTTGAAAAGATCTGGAAAGTTCATTTATTGCAAAAAAATAAGGGAAATAAAGAGACAAGAACAGTATAACTTAATGAGATCAATAATTGTAAACAGCTAATGAATACGAATTTTTGATCCCATTTCTTCTATGAGGTGCTAAAACGTTAAGACGGATAACGGAGAATGGAGGTGGAGGTTTGAAAATTGAAGCCTTTCAGGTCTCTGCAGGACACGGTTCTAGTATTCTCAATAGACGGCAGACGAACTCGGAGATGTGGTACTAGGAGGGGCGTGGCTTAACAGCCACCTTCCCGCATGAGGCGGAGCAGACGGGTTCCACCTATTCAAATCGTCAACTAGCTCTTCTCCCAACTGAGCCATTTGAGTTCATTCGCCTGACGACAGAGTTTTCGGCAGGTTCTCAAAATATTGAGCCATAAGGCAGCTGAAGTAGCTAGCCGTCGTTAACGCATATATTCCCTACGGACATCAACAAAGAATTCGAACTTGATGAGCTGCTGTACTTATGAGACCCATCGTCGAAAAAACTCGCCTCTACGTGCTCCAGTCAATAATGTCTGCAATCTCATGTCAAAGTCGATGGAAGAAAAACGAATAGTTGATGGGTAGTTCTGTGACGATCAGCATGGCGAACAATACAGGACCAACAATCAGATGGGCGAAATAACTGAAGGGAAAGTGAAAGCAATTGTAGTCATTCTCATTCAAATCGAAATATGACAGCAAACAGAGTTTCCGCTCTGGATGAGGAAAAAAGGGTTAACAAAGTAGCCTAAAATAACTAATCTACAATCGGGGATACGAAAAAACCGGGTAAGGGAAACAACTAAGTCCTTTTAACTCTTCTTAAAATCCTTAATTTAGGAGGAAAAAAGCTTTTTTCCTCGTTGTAGAATGTACAGTACGGTTTTCCTAAAATACGATTTATCTGAGATTCGGAGCACATTCCCATTTTAATGAAGAAAATAGTGGATCTTTGCAAGAATTCTATTATGGCTTGTCGATCTGCCGTAATTACTCCAGTTTTTCTGTGCGACGCCAGGACAGATTCGAGGTGGTTGTGACAACGACCGTTTCCGTCTCACCACTGTCCGTCTTATTTGCCTCTAATAGGTACCTTCACAAAAACGTTATTTGCTATTAATTGTTATGTTCTCTGAAGCCCATAGGCAACACTATGTTCCCTACCGTGGAATATACATCAGAAATTCATGAATACTTCCAAGCAAGAACTCCAATGAAACACTGTTGGAATTCCAATTAAGTAATTCTAATGGGACCTCCAACCAGCAAAACACTCGAAGCATTCTGGATCGTTTTCGAAAACTCACGAATGAGCAGCAAGAAGGAATGTCTCGTTATCATACATGATCTCACACAATATCTGAGACGCTCAGGTTCATTTTAATGTGAAAGAGGCACATTTCACATCAATATGAAGCCTGTTCGGTTGGTCTCCACATGAAATACTCAGTGAAGAAAAATTAATAGGAAGCGGGAAGCTGCTTTATTTGTAATACGATTGATAAACACTAGTTTTCTCGTTGGGTTTATGGAGGTGTTGGCCTGAGCAGATTGCTGTCAGCTTGACCTTTCCAGGCGCTGACGAAGGCGAAATCTGATGAAACGACAGCTTTCGTGGATAAAGAGTATAGCAGCAACCTCGTGTGTTCATTAAGAAAATAGCGATTCCTAATAGAGTTAGTCCCGGAATTCGTAAATGCCAACGATTACGCGGATCTCAAATAATCGTTAACAATGCAAATCCGAAACTGCAATGGAGCCCAGCAATGTCGTTTATTGGTTTTTTAAATATTACTTCGTTGAATGTAAGCTGATCTAATACCGATTGCTCTACAATGGATTGTGCCGTGAGGAAGAAATTATTGTCAACAGGCAGTCGATATCATCAACAACCGTCCTGAATAAAAAGGCATTGCTGGATAGGGTTACATCATTCGAGCGGTGCTCTTCTCCAGAAGATTTGACTCTACACGACTACGATGACCCACATCGCGAGATCGAACCACTTTGGACCATCGGCTTGGATCAATCGATTTTGAAGAAGGCGTAGTCTTCTAAACCTTAGCCGAGTAAAGCGTTTATATAACAATCTAAGGTAAGATTGATCAATGCAGAAAGTAGCTTGTTAATTTTTCGCGCAAATTTATCACTATCCACGTTACAATCGTTATTTAATTTGGAAAGCACTTTTCCTAGACGTTGCGAAGCCTCTGAGAAGTACGCTAGCGAGATAGCCGATCTTTCAAACCATTCACTCATGAATAAATACGCTTTCAATTAAGTAGCAAGGAACACAGGACTCAATGATTAGCGCAGAGGGCGAGAGGAGACAACGATCCTCTTCACAATCAACATTCACTGGCACATATGTCTAAACAACTGCTTGCAATATGACGCACTCCTTTCCCTTAATCGGCTTCATAGAGCCTCAGACAGAATGACGGCAACTGGTGGTCGTTTGAGGGTGATGGCAACTAAACGTGACAAGGTGGCTGTGAAGGTGGTGGTGATGATATGCGCGACTTTTGAAACTGCCTTTGTGCTCACAACGTGCAACTTTTTATTTACTGCCCATTAATTCTTTCATCACATGGTATTATATTATATGTAAAAGATATTTACAGAACTCATGTACCCCAGGCTGAATTCGAAATCGCGATTAACTTTCCCGTCTGGCTTGGAGTCTGTGTTTTCCAAATATCTCATAAAGTCATTTAATATAATATCATTTTGGTTGCCTTTGCACTACTCTTCTTGCCGTGAGCACCCACCTTTCTGACTTCTTGTTTAACTGCTTTAATCTAGGATCTGCTTATTTTCATATTAAGATTCATGTTTTTATTGGGCGATTCAATTCCAGTAGTCTCATTTGTAATAGGAAAACTATTGAAATAGGAGAATGAAAAGGAAAGGTGGGAATACGCTCCTTAGCAAAATCCAGCTGAATATATAGCTTAAAGTAGGCCTATGTACAAATCCAGCAAGTACAACATGCATGAATGATTGAATGATAAAGAATAATAGGTCTAAACAGCACTGTAGACAAGGCTCTTGTGGAGGGTAGGAGAAGAGTAGGACGTGTTGCGACCTCAACGCCGTTTTTCATGAATAAACTCGAAACGGATGTTATTATTCGAAGAGTGACACAAATTAAGGGTCGCTTAATACCTGTATGGAGTTTCAAGCCTTCCAGTTCTTAGTTTTTGCTTTATCCTTCACCTAGCGATACTTCTGCCGATAAATCTGTCCTTAGTGTCGCCTTACTCAAGGCTGCGTTACTCTTCCTATAGGAAGAGCTATAAAAGCGCCAGGTTCTGTCGATTACACCCCAACCAACTTTCAGTTTCTTGAAAACCATTAGATTCTTTATATTGCGATTCTTATATCCAGTTGCTTTGCTATGGCAGCATATGTTGTACTGCCAAAGTCTATGCGACTATCAAAGGTCACCGCCGTTAGTGTAACACATCTAAAAACGATGACTGCTTTACCTTTAAGCACTTTTTTTTCAGAATTTTTCCAATTATTTTTAATAAGCTCTTTATGCTTCTATTTTTCGTTAAAGCAAAATATTTCAGAATTAGAATGGAAAAAAACCTTTCTTAATGAACACTTTTAGAATGTTCCAAGTACTCGAAATAAGTTAAAGCTTCCCATCTAAGCATGAACGAGTGAAGTTAGTGTTGCGAGGTTGCTAGAGATGGCCTACGCTAGGCACTCGTTCGATCGCTGGTTCGATTTGGAGCCCATGGAATAATAATTTTCCATTCGTCCGAGGTCGACGAATAGCAACAAAGTTGTCTGGGAGAGACAAAGACCACTGACCTGACACGCTGGTAAAAGACTGCGAGTCATTGCATCGAGACGTGATATTCATTCAACCTCCACAATGCTTGATGCAATAAAGTCGAATGCTTGGCGTGTCCCTCAGGAATTGACTAACGAGGTATGGGTAGCGCAGTGGATAGATGTGCCATGAGTCGTGCGTGGTCCTTCATTCGATTCCTGGACCGTCAGCTAAGCAGGTGACTTGATAGGTCGGTAGGCTTCACGAGTGTGTGCCAATCATGCATTCAACCACTTCGACGGTACTTTATAGCGTCGGATCCATAGCGCACCAAAAGGAGTAAATCAAAGTCGAAGGCTTTATCAATTTGTTTATGTAATGTTCCGTAATACCAGCTTTCTTGCCGATTGTGCAGTGACCCAAGTGAGGTATACAAAATCTCCATTAGTCCATATCGAGTGTTTCAGTTTAACACTGGGTTTTGTTCACTATACGATAAAGAAGAACATCGTCCCCTCACCCTGGTGAAGAAGGATGGAAGTATTCATTCTCTACACTTATTCTATGAAGCTTATTCTCTTATGGCTCTCGACCAACGGTTGTCGTAAGGATATATCAAACCTCTGATCCACCTAAATTTCGACAACCTAGCATCATCATTTCTGATCTTTGAATATTAATGTAGACTTGGGCTCCGAATGTTTCCTCTCCCAGCAGTGTGGCCTTGAATGTTCCTAGAATCATGCTCCAGATGACGGAAACATGTCGGAATTGAGGAGTTATACGAAAAGCTAGATGTCATTCGTCTTCCAGTT